TGGAACTTACATCATCAACTTCCTCCTCACTGGAGCTATCGTCGCCGCCCTCACCCATAGTTACATCTTGGGGCTCAGCAGCACTCTTGCCTTTGCCTTTGTCGCCGATAGTGGCCGTAGAACCAGATTGTGCAGACATGTTATGAGAGGTTTGGGAAAAAAGCTATTTGTTGTTGTTTTTGGTTAAAGGAAAGAGGTGTTGAAGTTGTGAAAGGTGACAAAGATTAAATCAACGACAGGAAAGTAACTAAGGGGGATGGATGGCACGGTCCTTTAGAGTTAGTAGCTACTACGATAGATAGTATTTGTTGTCACCACTGTACATACAAACAATCGACATTTGAGGGGTAAAGCGCGTTTGACTTCGCGTGATGGAGAGAAAGGCGCTAAGATTGTAGTAAGAGGCCAAGAAGGATTCGCTGGTCTTTGATTTGTCGAAAGTTACAAATTCATATTTATATCAATTATTATTATTATTATTATTAGTACACTCCAGAGACTCCATAGTAGACTTATCAACAGGCCTTTCGAGACGGCCGCTGGAGTGCTTTTTTAGCCCCAGGAACATAAAGATTTAAGGTTAAGCAACCAACTTTTTACAATCAACCTTGAAGATTTGCTTCTTTCTTTCTATTTACCATTTCTTCTTGCTTGAGCAAACCATCTTTGGTCAGATTATTGCAGATACTGGCTAGACTATAAGGGACGACAATCTTCTCTGTGCTATAGAGGATAAATAGCAAACATGCCTGGTAAGGACCTAAGATTTGGTGTCACATAGCTTCACTTCAACCCCGCGTTGCAGGGTACACAAAATATGAGGGGCTAACATATTTTATCTAGATTCATCGTCAGAGCAGAACCCTTCAAAATTACCTTCTTCCCCAAGAGTTCCCTCTAAGTTAGCATTTTCAAACATGTCCGACATAGACAATGATATCGCGGAGGAGGGCTATATCGGGGTTAGGGATGATCTAGTGGAGGAACCAGAGGACATGCTTCCAGAGGCAGCTATCCTATCTGATGATACACCCGGCCTCGAAACTCCCATTTCTCAAAGTGGAATGTTAGCTCGAGACAAGCAAAAGAAAACGGCATACTTTGACTATCTTGCAGAGAAAGAAATGAGCCAGACAGATGCGAAATTATTCTTTCAACGCAGCCAGTTGGAAGGCAACAAGACTGGTAGCGGCAGCAATTGGGGTCATTCTCAGAAGTCTGCAGTTCCTAGTCCTGTGTTGAAACCCAGATCCTTCTCTAACATTTTAGACTCTGAACAAGGAGGATTGAATAGATCTGGAAGTCAAGCTTCAGGAACGAGCACACAAAATCTCCCAAATCTCAACAAACTCAGAACTGCTCCTCCTATTGGTTTGGCAGATCTTGGAAAGCATCCAGAAAGTGCTGTAATTCAAGAACCGAGTCTTGCTGCGGGAACTTTTGTTCATACTCCTGGATTACACAATAGACGAGAATCCCTTCTTAGAGCAGACAAGGAAGCTAGAGATCATGCTGCTCATCCAGAACTTCCTCACGAATCTAAACCATTGCTAGAAATGGAAGGATTGCATGGTGCAGGTGCCGGTGTCGGCCTTGGTTCTGGTGCAGGCGGCTTTGCCAATTCTGACGCCCACATAACTGCGGAACTCGCATCCATCTACACTAATATTCAAAAAGTGATAGACATCAGACACAAGTACATTCGCCTGTCTTTACAAGAAGATGGCGATAATCCTAAGGATGACCCGAACTGGAGTATCTATCCACCACCGCCCGAGCCATCTTGGCACGACGATAAAGCCGCAACAAATGCAAGAAATAGTACAGCAAATAGTATGGCGAACAGCATGGTATTGCCACCTCAAGCTGAAGCTCATGGCCATCAGCAAACGATCAGCGGTGCAGCATCAGAATTGTCACAAGCCCAGGCTACTAGCGCACGCAGTGCCCCCAAAACTCCTCTCCGCAAGAGGAAGCCTGGGCAGGACATTGGTTCTGATTTCGAGATGGAAGATCTTCTTCCACTTCCTCCGCCTGGAGAAATGACTTTCAGACTTGATGGAAGCGGAGTGTTCCAGGTGTACGAAAACTCAAAACTTCAAGAGCTTGAACAGCCAGTAATCAACATACCTGATATCAGAGAATTCTACATGGACTTGGAACAAATTCTCAATGTGTCATCTGATGGCCCAAGTAAAAGTTTTGCCTATCGTCGTTTGCAGTATTTGGAAGGCAAATTCAATCTTTACGTTCTTCTCAATGAATATCAAGAAATGGCGGACAGTAAACGTGTACCACACAGAGATTTCTACAATGTTAGGAAGGTTGATACTCACGTTCATCACTCTGCCTGTATGAATCAGAAGCATCTGCTTAGATTCATTAAGAGTAAGATGAAGAAGAATCCTGATGAAATTGTCATGTTCAGAGATGGTAAACATCTTACGTTAGCTGAGGTTTTTCAAAGTATTAACTTGACTTCTTATGATTTGAGTATCGATACTCTTGATATGCATGTAGGTTGATGGTCTCTTGGGTTTCTTCACACTTTTCTAACTATTTTTTAGGCTCACACCGATTCTTTCCATCGATTCGACAAATTCAATCTGAAATATAATCCTGTTGGGGAATCTCGTTTAAGAACGATTTTCTTAAAGACAGATAATTTCATAAACGGAAGATATTTGGCAGAAATCACTAAAGAGGTCATATCAGATCTTGAATCAAGCAAGTATCAAATGGTTGAATGGCGAATTTCCATCTATGGGAGAACTATCGACGAATGGGACAAGCTAGCAGCATGGGTTGTTGACAACAAACTATTCTCACACAATGTTCGATGGTTGATACAGGTCCCACGACTTTTCGACGTTTACAAATCTAGTGGATTGATGGAGAACTTCGAACAAGTTATCATCAACTTGTTTCAGCCTCTCTTTGAAGTAACCAAAGATCCATCTAGCCACCCAAAGCTTCACATCTTCCTTCAGCGAGTAATCGGATTTGATAGTGTAGATGATGAGAGTAAAGCTGAGCGAAGATTGTTTAAAAAGTTCCCAGTACCAAAAGTATGGGATTCCAAGCAAAACCCTCCTTACAGTTATTGGATCTATTACCTCTTCGCCAACATTTCTTCGTTGAATGTGTGGCGCAAGCAGCGTGGCTTCAACACATTCTTGCTACGACCTCATTGTGGAGAAGCTGGTGATACTGATCATTTGGCTGCTGCAGTTCTTTGCTGCCACAGTATTAGTCATGGTTTGTTACTTCGAAAAGTACCTTTGCTACAATACATCTTCTATCTCGAGCAGATTGGAGTGGCAATGTCGCCTTTGAGTAACAATGCACTGTTCCTAGCATATGAAAGAAACCCTTTCCTTTCTTATTTTAAGAGAGGTCTTAATGTTTCTCTCTCTACCGATGATCCTCTGCAATTCGCTTTCACAAAGGAGCCACTTATCGAGGAGTACTCTGTGGCTGCACAAATTTACAAGCTTAGCGCAGTGGATATGTGTGAACTGGCCAAAAATTCAGTCGTACAAAGTGGCTTTGAGCATTCTGTGAAGCAGAGATGGTTAGGTCCAGACTATGATGTACCCGGAGTAAAGGGTAATACTATGGCAAAGAGCAACGTCCCAAATATTAGAGAAGGCTTCCGGCACGAGACGTTGATGCAGGAACTATCTATGTAAGTCATGATATTTCTTCCTTGCTACCTTTGCAAAATATATGCAATACTAATAGCAAAAAAAACAGGATTGAGCGTTACACTGCTCTGTCAACTCCAGCCGTCCAGGCATCAGCCCCAGTAGATGGAAATTCCTTTTTCCCAGGGCCAAGACCACATTCACCAACATCATCCATGAAAGCTTCTGTTAGCGTGGCCGATCATGGCCCCTCTCAACCATACCAGCAAAATCCTGCTCAGGCTGCTCGCATTCCCCCTTCCCATTCTCAGCTGCACCTAGATTCTCATTTCAAACCTCATCAGAAAGGTACCGATAGTCCATCTGGTTATGCTACCCCAAATCAACAAACGCAACCGAACTCGTCGTTCAACTCGCCAATCTCAGCCAACAAGGGACGTGAAAAGTCTTGGGGACTAGAAGCAGGATTTAGTGATCTACATCTTTCGGGCAGTGAACCAAGAATCTTCCCAGGTCTAGTCAGTAGAAAGCAGAGAAGAGAAAGCAACAGAAAGAACAGTGCGACAGAAAGTGACGAGCATGCTTTGATGATGTTAAAAAGGGGTAGCGATAACAAGAGTGTAGCGACATTAGATGGAAAGCTAGATGAAGAGATAGACGTAGAAGATAGTGATGTAGACAACGATGATGCTGCCGACTCCAACTAAATCATTTTAGTTGGGATACGGCGGGTGGAGATTAAGATTTATGGAAGTACAATCTTTGGGGTGGCTGGGATGTGATGAAGATTTTTGGAATATGAATCGAGAAAGCTTGATATAGATGGTTATTTGATCTAGTTTAAGGTAAGGATAGGAAGGACTTGGTGTAAACCACTACCCATTCCTCTGGTATCTTAGATCAATTGGCGTTGGTGATATTTTGACATGGGTTGAATAGATAGAGAACAGATCCGCAACAGTTAGTACGAATCACTGTGTCAACATAGAAAATATAATGCAAGTTCTCTTTATTGGCCGACTAGTTCCTATTGAAACCTCTTTATTAATTGCACTATAAACCGGCCACTAATGAAACAAATAGATCCAAAGAGACATTAGCTATTGCTAGCTTCTTACCATCTTTGGTTCTATCAAAAAGTATATATTCCACATCAAAATCGAGGGTGATGATCGGATTATTGTTAATGTTAAAAGAGGTGATCAAACACGAGTCTGCATAGAGTTGCGTAGTGTATTATGGGTGGGGCCTGTGAAGTGAAGCTCATTGGCTGAAATGCACAGGCGAAGGGTAACCTCAACAGGCTCCTTATTCTTACGACTCTCATGGACACCAAAAACAGTGTATCACACACTCAACGATTTTCAAACGAAGCGCTTTGATTTTGTCTATTATCCCTATTTTCTTCAAAAACCAACAACTACTTTATTAGTCTCTGTACTCTGTCCCGAGTGGTTCGTTGCGAGACGGCCAGTTGTTGCTGCCTTTACCATCAGCGCCAATCAGTGTAAACATCAATCAGAATGGATACACCATCAACATCTACCTCAAAAGAATCTGCTCCTGCTCATTCTAAGAGGAATCGTGTCCAATTGAGTTGTACACCATGCCGACATGCCAAACTTAAATGCGATCGAGCTCAACCATGCAGCCAATGTCAAAAGAAGGATAGGGTAGGATCATGTTCATATCCCACGCCCTTACCAAGAAAGAAAGCCGCGATGACAATGCACAAAAGATTGAAGCACCTGGAGAGCTTGGTTAAGGACGTTATGAATTCTCAACAAGTAGCTGGGCCCAATACTCCTCCACGTGATGGCCCGGAGCCCGGAAACCTTGTTGCCAGAGCGGAGGCTCTTGAGATTTCATCGGAAGATCAGAGATTGGATACGGCTGATATTTCTCCCTCTGATTTGAATATGTCACCAAAAACTCAACAGACAATACCGCCTTCAGGGCAGGTTGTAGTTGGCGGGAAGGAAACGCAATATGTTGGCGCTACTCACTGGGCTTCAATTCTTGATGACGTGAGAATTTTCCATTGCGTGAAGTAACTTATACTGATGTTCATCAGATAGGAGAAGTTAAAGAATATTTTGATCAAGGAGAAGACGATGATATTGAAGAAGAGACCATGCCTGAACCAGGTCTACTTTTCAATACAGATGCACCACCATCTAAAGCCAAATTGTTGGCAGCTCTACCTTCCCGTAGAGTCGTTGATAAGACTGTTCAAATTTATTTTAATGGGTCCACTCCTTCATTGCGTAGGTCTCCAGTAATCTCATGAGTTGTGGGACAATGCTAAACAGTTTACAAGGTATTCTGCATGCTCCGACTTTTCAAAAAGAGGTAATGTAATGTTTCTTCCACTCTTGCATCATCCGAAATATTAGATTTATGAGAGACCATACTACAGCTAGCGTGCTGAAGAAGGTCTTTTATTTCTATCATCATCATTGCATACTGTATAGATTATTCTCCATCTGCTGAGAATTGATATTCGTGTTTGCTCATACTTATTAAATCGATTAGTATTCGAAATTTTGGGCCAATCCGCATGACACTCCTATCTGCTGGCTGGGCTTATTATATGGCATCATGTGTCTATCTTTATTCTCCAGTTATGCGGCAGGCGAAGAACATCCAGATGGGCGTGCTTCTCAAATGCAAACGATACGAACATATCGACGCAACTGTATCCAATGCATCCGCCTTTCGGATTACACAAAACCAGGAAAGTATACAATCGAAGCAATGCTTGCTCATTTGGAAGGAGAATTTGTTCTCAGCGATGCTGATCAGGTGAATTGCTATGTAGTTCTTGGTGTTGCTGTCCGGTTAGCCTTAAGAATGGGACTCCATCGAGATCCCGATAGAGTTGGTGGTCAAATTACTCCGTTCCAAGGGGAAATGCGTAGGCGACTTTGGGCCATTTTGAGACAAATAGATTTACTGGGTTCCTTTCATATTGGATTGCCTAGTATGGTTGAATCCATTGATAGCGATGTTCAATTGCCCCGAAATTTGAACGACACAGATTTCGATGAAGATTGTACAGAGCTTCCACCCCCTCGACCTGACTCAGAAATAACGTCAGTGTCATATGTCCGGTTTAAGAACAAAATATGTCAGGTTTTCGGGAAAATTGCAGCATATGCGAACTCATTATCCAAGCCTTCTTACGATGAGATTATGGAATTAGATGCTCAATTGGATGTGGTACAAGCGGCCGTACCGCCATCGTTTCGATTTCAGCCGATAGACAGTTGTGTCGCTGATCCAGCACAGTTGATTATTCAGAGACTGAATGTCGCTCATCTCTTATGCAAAAGTCGATGTGTTTTACACCGTAAGTATCTTGTAGGCAATCACGATCATCCTGAGCGAGAGTATTCCGTTAAGGTCGGTATCAACGCCGCACTACAACTTCTCAATTTTCAAAAACAGACTTACGAAGCTACACAACCAGGAGGGATCTTAGCCCGAGATAGATGTTTCCCATCTTCATTAACGATGCATGATTTCCTACTCGCGGCAATGATCGTGTACGTGAGGACGATGAAGATATTGGAAGAAGAAATTAAAGGCAAACATCAGAACATCTCTTGTCAAAAACAAAAAGTGGAAATGATTTCTGCTCTCAAGATGTCATCGGATGTATGGCGGGCCACACAACTGAAATATCCGGAGGTTAAACGGGCAGCGGATGTGCTGGCGGTGATGATGAGAAAACTTGATGCGGCTTACGTGGCACTTGGGAAGTCACAAATGTCTTGGAGTATGGATTTAAGCACAAATGATACTGACTCGATGGCTGGTTTGTCTTTGCAAGGTATGGTATCTTCAATTTAAAAGAGACCCTGGTATTTTTCTCATAGCTAACAATGATCGACACCCATAGATGAATTCACAATGAACCAAGCCACTACAAGCCCACCAGGAGCATTTACATGGCCTATGACTTCCCCCGCTTCCGCTTCAAATTCCTCCTACATGAATTCAGATAACACCCAATCCATTCATTCTCAAGCAAATCTTCTCAATGAGTCCGCACCGTTTGATTATCTGATGGATATCCCTACCGACTTTGACTGGGTATGTATTTTCTTTTCAGATCCGGCTTTTCAATAGTCCAAGCTGTAGTTTGGCAATCGAAAGCTCTCAACATTTAGCACCAATACAAGATTCAAATTCGATATTCCAAAGATATTGAATCATTCAATTGAATTGAGACATCCAGAGTTTCTAATTGTCGGACTGTAGCCTGGACTATTGCACCTCAGGCACATGGATATATTAAAACCATGGTTATATGTGGGCTTGTGAGATAATCAATTGCTAATGAGAGTATAGAACTTGTTTGATAATCATATAAGGGCAGATGCTAATCAGTCACCAACGAATGGTCAGCATCTTCCGGACATAAATCTTGGGGTGGAGGGGATGAATGATTTTGAATTTGGGTTTGTTTAAGAGGATTGTGAGAACGTATTTAGGGGGGGGGGGGAGGTTGAGATGGCCGGGGAGGGACGGTGGGGGGTCATCACGAAGTTAAAGATTGAAGCACTGTAGTAGAATGGTTAATACACTCATCTATTCTGTTCTAACTGTATATATGAGCAGATTGCATTCCGTATATGTTGACTATAAACTGCACTTTGATTGTACTGGGAAAATCATTCATCAAGCATCAAAATGAATGGAGCAGTTGTTAGAGGAGCAGAATGATAATATATTGAAAGTGGAGAATAAGAATAGGATTTCTACAAAAAAAATTGAAAAACTGAGATAAGTTTTTTTAGAAGAAGAGTTATAGAAATTAGTTTTTACTTAATAAAAATTATAAAGATAAGCTTTTATAAGAGAAAGATATAATGTAAGCGGAACTATGTGCTGGTTATATGGTTATTTCTTATAGCTAATGGAGTAGCTTGACGATGGCTACCACATCATTCGGACAGTATTTGCGACGATGATAGCGAAGGCGTGAAAAGAAGTTCTCCAACCCATTCATCAGGGACTCGACATCGGCCTGACTTTACATGACCAATCTAATGCTGATATTCTATGGCTTTACTAACACTAGGTGCGTAGAGGAAGCCGGAAAGAGGCGTCGAAAATCATGTTCCGCCTATATATAAGCTTGATCCCTATTACCGAGCCGAGCAATGGGGGCGGGGGTAGCTCTGAAACTCAATGACTATGTTATACCGCCTAGACAATGCGAAAAGTTAATACTTGAACACATTCTTAGACTTTTACTAGAATTCATATATATGTATAGTCGGAATCCAATTGCAATACTACTGACGTCTCTACGATACATCTCATTAGAATGATATATCCTCAAGTCACGCATCCCTCATACCACAATCCAGTATACCGGCTAAATCTGATTAGTGCTTATGGTACCTGCATGAGGACATTATGAGGATATCTAGTGGTGGGATAGACAGTCATCCAACAGTGGGATGTTGTGTTTACAGACTTCGAATTCGTTCAGTAGCTAGGTACATAATCAAAGCCATCCATTCTTTACATTACATTACTTTTCTATGAATGCAACTATGACCCCAAATCCTCTCCCCACATCCCTAGCACCTCCCACACCACCCAAAAAATGACTTTCCAATACTCCATCCACCGCGTCCCCTCCTCAGCCACCGAAATCGCCCGCACACCCCCTACGCTCCTCCCCTACCTCGCGGGCAAATTTTCCGCGCTCCGTCTCTCCGCCCTCGTCGAATCGCCCAACTCCTTCGCCTCCACTTTCGAAGCCGAATCGCTCTATTCCGGCTCCGTCTGGCTTTCCCGCTTTTCCCGTCCGAAAGTCCATTATTTTCTCGCCGTCGCCCATTCTCCCTCTGCTCCCCCAGAATCCCACACTATCGACACCGGGCTCCTCGTCGGCTCCGTCCAACTCTATGGACCTTCCCCGGCGTCATTTTTCACACTTCCTGTAGGTGGTGCTCCGCCCCCCTTACCCGATGCTCAGGAATTAAAATACCAGATGATCGCGCTATACTCCTCATCTCTGCATCGAAGAAAGGGGCTCGCGAAAATGCTCGTTCACGGTGCGATTGAAAGCGCGAGGAAACAGGCATAGATGGAAGGAAAAGAAAAAGTACGCATCCGTGTATTTCTGCATCCGGAAAATCTGACGGTGAAGACGCTCTATAGGAGTGTAAGGTTTGTGGAGACGGGCTTCTGTACGTTGGCGGAGGCGGTGGTGCAGAATGGCGATCCGGAGGCGTTCCGGAGGATGGGGGGAAGGGGGATCCGGAGAGGTGGTTGAGTATGCTTGGGGTTGTGATGGAGTGGGTGGGCTGAGAGGGGAGGGGAGAGGTGGCTTCGAATAGGGGGTAATTTAGGTTGGTACTGTGGCGGCTTGGAAATTGGGAAATGTGACTTTGAAATTATGATTGAATTACATAGATATCTAACCTAGACTGAGGACTGTTAATGGAAATTTGATCTGCGCATTTCTTGAAAAAGATTTTCGAAGTTTCTTTTGAGAATCACGAGATTGTGAAATTTCCATACTGATTTTCGGAAATTTTGTCTGCCGGACACTGGAGACTACCAAGTAGGTGATCAAATGATGTCATGAATTATTGGAACCGATAGATACCTATATACCTAGAAATTTTAGCAGATTTTCCCTATAAAAAGTCGAGACGATAACTCACTACCTGCGTTTTGTTACTCCCATCTAACCAATGTAGGGAAATAAAACAGAGGGATGAATATAATCATGGGACGATAGTCGACTTCCTTTGGGCATGTAAAAAATAATCTAAAGTGATGAGACAGATTCCCGAGATTCATCGTCTGTACAATAATAAGTGAGACCAAGATTCGCCCAATTGTAAGCATATAGAGAGATGACTTGTCATACATGCCTATATTTGTATACAATTCTGAAATATCTGCATGCAACCCATCGCCCAAATCTCACTTCCCACACCCTACATTCCCTCTTTCTATTTCTCCTCTCCCACCTCATCCCATCCTCAAATTCTCACTCCCTCGAAATGCGTCTCAAAGCCTGACATCTCGCCTTCATTCCTTTCCGTTAATGCATGGAATCTCACTGCTTCATTTGTATGACCGCATGAATATATCCATCTGAAAAGCAGCCCCCTTATCAACACCCTCTATGCCACGAGATTACGCATGCATGCTGAAGTAATCTCAACAAGACGAATGCAAGAAACCCCAGAACCCCAAAACCTAAAACACAAGCACAAGCTATCTCTTTCCATCGTAATAAAGAAGCAGACATGAGCAGTATCTGCACACTAGGAAACCTTGCCTCCTACGCTCTTAGCAGCAGTTCAGCTTCAGATATAATTACTGGTCTCAAATTCTCACGGGAAAAGAACATCAGACTTACTAGTAAAACCACAGATCATGATTTTCTCGGACGCTCTACAGGTGCTGGTTCATTAGCTCCATGGATGCACAATCTAAACGATATAAATTTTCTCAATTACAGTAGCGCTTTATATACAGAACCCGCAGTACACATAGGTGCTGGAGTTCAATATACCGATGTATACCCCCTAGCCCAAAAACACGGGTACAAAGCCGTGGGCGGTTCATGTTCAGGAGTCGGGGTTAGCAGGAGGTTTTACACAAGGCGGTGGTTATGGACCGCTTATGGGTACCTGTGGAGTTGCTGCTGATCAGGTACCAGAATGGGAAGTTGTGACTGCCACTGGACAGCATCTAATTGTTTTGCCCACGCATGATACAGATTTGTACTGGGCATTAAGTGGAGGTAGAGGTGGAAATTTCGCTGTAGTGCTTTCGGTGAAGGTTTGGGTCTATGATGATGGCCCCGTGGCTGGCACGGCTTTCTCTTTCAGAAATGGCAATACTACTGCGTATTAGACTGCTGTTGGTGCTTGGTTACAAACTTGACTTGTGATAGATATTATTGAAGATCTCACTACAGTCTATACAATTACAGCCGAGAGCTTCACGTCAAACTTCGCATTATTGCCAGGTGTCACTACAACAGCCATAATTAACACTGCTTTAAACCCATTTTTTCAAGAAGCTGGAGGACCTCAACATCTCATTAGAAAAGAGCTATACCATTGAAGTCCATGTTAACTTTGCCGAGTCCTACGATCACTGGGTCTCATAAGTAGAGACTAGCAATACTTCGATAGGCGGACGAAATATTCAACGCTCAACGGTGCAAGATAATACCACTCTGCTTGCACTCATTTCCGCTTTTCACGATATCACGGATGAAGGATGAACTATCTTCCTGGCCACGCCAGATATTACTCATGGAAACTATACTCCTAATGCCGTACTTCCAACTTGGCGTGATGCCTTGCCCGCCGTGGCATTTTTGAACCCGTTAGCCGAGAATGGTCAACATGATGATATTCCCTACTATACAGATGCAATTGAATAGTTGGCAAGGAAATTTGCGCTTCATCACGCCCGGAGGAGGCTCATACATGAATGAAGTGACATGGAATAATCCATACTGGAAATATAATTACTATGGGTCAGATCATAAGTCATTATTAGAGGTGAAGAAGAAAAGCTGGCCTGGAGTTTTTGTTTTAAGCAGATGCAGCAGCTGGTAGCGATGTACATTGGAAGCTTGGTAGGAATGGGGCACTGTGTCGTATATGATGCAGGAAAGAGACTTTAAGACAGCATTCTTTGCGGGTCGCTTATCCGTCGAAGGCATGATTTAATATCGATATTTCACAAGAATGTGGTTTGTACCTGGTTGTGAGCTTCATGTGAGACCGAATAATAAATATCAAGAATGCGATCGGGATGATGTTAGTTGTAATATTGTGCCTGAGTGTGTTGAAATCAAATAATACATCAACGATGAAAGGGGGTATAGATCCCTAGAAATTCTCAAGTCTCCTTGAATATTGAACACTACAAGGCCCAGACTTGTCAACTTTGAGTCTTTGAGCTCTCTTCCTCCCAATTCTCACTGACACATTGATCTCTTAATCTCTAATCAATCAAACAACACAGCATTCAATGGAAATAGCTCTCTCAAAGAGCAAGACGATAAGGGGATTGAAACTGGAAATCTGAGCGAATGGAGGTTTTCAGAGAATATCCATGAATCCAGATATGGAAGGTGGGATTAATCTCCTCCTAGAGAATAAATTGATCACACACCATTAAACAGTCGAAGTAAACACAGGCTGCGATTTGCGAATCAAAAGATTCGATTTAATAAAGCAGACGAGATAGAGGTGGCAGTAATGGAAACAAGTCAAAATTAATGAAGTTTAATAGTATTACAAGATAGCAAAGTTCATTGTAACCAACAAATTGTCATATACGAGTACATCTAAAGAAATCGCTTACCGAACGACTTTCATTTCACATGCTTGATATTAAGAAATCCATCTCAATCGCAGAGATTTCCACAAAAACAATACAAATAACACAATCTTTTCCCCAGTTGCAGCAACATATATTCCAAAATCGAAGTGAAGATATAAAAAGCGACAGTGACCTACCCAGCTAACCGATTTCCACGTTCCACGACTTTTTCCACCCGCCTTACCTAAGATCGTACGTTTTCACTCAGCCACCCGCCGATAACAGGCTCTACCTCAATTTGATGCTCCAACTTTCCCATTCTTTTTGTTGCACGTCTCGCAACATGGGATATGTCCAAATACGGCACCTTGAATATGGGAAAGAAGTATCGTCTTTTGGGGATTGGCATAGTGATTGATCATTAGAATATTCTGTTTATGGGTAAAACCGACGCCTTGAGAAGCTTAATGTGGTTCTGCTGCATAGTTTGAATATTAATTCGTCCACTCGGTGTCGGAATTGAGCGCTTTGTCTGGGATTGAAAATTGAGATTGGGAAATTTATGAGCGTCGATGAAGAGAGTGAGGAAGTAATTGTTTGAGATCGTAAGAATTTGTGTGGATGGAGAATTATAAATTGATTAGGTAACGAGGGGAGTGGCGACGTTTCTATATTTCGCCACTCTTCGGGACCGAGAGGCTGTATCGGTTCCGAGATATAGGTCTACCAGCCAATCAAAAGCTGACGGGAGTTAGAGGAAACCCGAAAATCCGAATAATTCTTGGCTTTGAGTCATCTTCATTAGCTTGACTCATCTCTAAAACCATTCCAATAGATGAGCCACACTGGTTGAGGGGAAAATGAAAAGCTTACGCCACATGAAGCTATCTGCTCGACCGACGCGCGGCTGCTTTCAGGTTAATCACCAACCACAGCTCTTCAGTCTGATGCATTTCAAGGTTCTTGCTATTTCTGTGCGGGTTACGTCAACAGCCTGTTGACTGAAAATAGGTAGGTTTGTGTTTCGTTACCATTTTTGCCTCATCGCTAGCTTCGGTGTTGAGGTTACGCACATACTGGCTTGCCTCGAAGTCTGAGGGCCTTGGGAAGTGGTATATATTCCTTGATTTCACCCCCTCGAATTTTGTATTTTTCTTTCTTCTATATCATCAGCATCATTATCAATTCATCATGGAATTCAACAATCAAAACAACAATCAACAAGCAGGTCCCTTCTGGGATTTTGTACGCTCAGTGCAACCACAAAACTCTGGAGCTGGTGTCGACCACCCTTCGCAAGATTTCAATATGTGGGGTCCACATGAATATCCTGGACGACACGGTCCCAGAGGTGCTCATGGCCCTAGAAGTGATCATGGTCCACACGAATTTGGTCCATTTGGTCCATTTGGTTTCCCTTTTGGCGGACCAGGACCATTTGGTAGAGGTGGGTTTGGACCAAGAGGAAGACACGGTCACAGAGGTCATCGTTCATTCTCTCCAGGCAGAGATGGAGAACACACCGAGGGAGAAGGTAAAGAGGAATTTCGAGGACATGGTCATCATGGCAGAGGCAAACATGGCCGTAGAGGTGGAGAAGAATCTGGTGAGGAAACCCCAACTTCTGACACCGAAGCAGGAGAGGAATCTCCCAAATCACATCGGGGTCCTCGAAGTTGCAAAGGCAAAGGCAAGAAGGGTCACTGTCGCAGAGATGGAGAGACTTCAAGTGAAGAGTCATCGGACCTTGAAGTGAGAGAAGGATCAAAAGGACCGGAATCATGCCGAGGACCTAAACATCACGGACGTCACGGGCCAGGTAGCCGAGGCGGATGGGGTGTGCGAGGTGGAGGTCGAGGTGGGCCACACGGAGGGCCCCATGGGGGACCACATGGTAGTGGAGGACCTCATGCTTGGGGTGGACCTCACGGTCATCATGGAAGACGTGGTCCACCTCCATTCGCTGGCCCAGGTGGCCCATTCGATTTCAGTGCAATGATACAAGCACTCTCCTCTCACCCAATCGCACAGGCATTTGGTGTACCTGCAGCTCAGCGCTCTGGTGAAACACTCGTCCCCGAAGATACTGACACAGAGAACTCTTTTGTTCCCCCCATTGACGTTTTCACCACTGAAAATGCACATGTCCTCCACATTGCGCTCCCCGGTGCTAAAAAAGAAGATGTAGGTGTACACTGGGATGCTGAGAAGGGAATGTTGAACATGGCAGGTGTGGTATACAGACAAGGAGATGAGAAATTCCTGGAGAGTCTCACAAAGAAGGAGAGAAAGGTGGGTGCTTTCGAGCGCACTATGAAATTACCCCTCAACGAAGAAGATAAATCGGAAATTGATGGTGATAACATTACCGCCAAGTTGGAGGATGGTGTCTTGGTCATCACTGTACCAAAGTTAGAGAAAGAAGAGTCTTGGACTGAGGTCAAGAGAGTCGATATCAATTGACTAGATTTGGATAATAACACAGGGTCTGTTCGGCTCAGCTGGGAGGTTTGATTTTACATCGTTCTCATTTCATGGTTTCCTCTTTCTTAATAGTCAGGGTTTGAATTTTGGCATCGGTATCTTGATTTAGTATAGTTACCATAAAAGGTCCCCAAGTGGACTGGAAAATAACAAAAAAAGCCACTCGGCAATATATAATTTTGAGCATCTTCCATTGATGAACGTGGATGCAGTGGCTCGAGAATCTTTTCAACGGTAAGAATATCGACAATCAGACTGCACCACTTCGGCCACGCTTCAAGTGGAAATGACTTGACTGTTATGAAAAGATTCCAAAGCGGTAGGTAAGAAAAGGAATAGACGAGAGACAGTGATAGGTAGTTGTATATATAGTTGATTCTGTGAATAACTTATAAATGATTTGAATGAGCACTCGTAAAAATGTCCAATTTGCTAGAAGTAGAAAAGATAACGAACGATTCATAAAAGAAAATAAAAAATGGAGGAATAAATTTGTGATCACACCAGAAATCATGATCCACAACCAAAGTATAATAATCCGTGTTCTGAAATAATCACATACCAATGAAGTGTACATGGAAAATCTGTCATAGGCAGCAGACACGTGACCACATGGAAGCAGAAAATACTTTCAGATGGAAGCAAGAGCTATGATAGTAGGCGTCAAGATCAGATGGTTATATCAGAATAGGGAGAATTTGACTGGAACATGAGTATGGTGATGATATTGTATTTTGTCCGATGGTTTGAAGTTCGCAAGTTTGCACCACTGGTAATGAAATCTCAAAGGAGGACTCAGATATCAACTTCACGAGTACACTTTCAAGGGACGACGCGCCTACAACAAGTAGTATAAAGACGTAATACTTATTGATTCATGAAAACTGTCTTTCTTGTATTAACTAAATCTTTTCGATAATCTTACAAATTTGCTTCAATTTTTACCATCCCGTGAAATCCAGACCCAAACCATCCATCCGTCCATCCATCCATTTCCATACTTAAACACCGGCTGATAATTCTTGCAAAGCCCCCGCCGCTTCCTGCTCTGCTTTTGACAACTTTCTCCGTGACAGCTTTGCATCGTGTTCCGGATCATCGAGAGATTTTCGTTTGTTGTGTTCGGAAGTTGGCCGACTTGATGATGATGTCGACGAGGAAGCTGGAAGAGCTTGAGGCGTTACTGTTAAGACAAGATTGTCGATGAAGTTACGTAATTGATCGAAATGTTTTGATTCCTCTTCGGTTTGAATGCATGCTGGTGTTGGAAATTGGGATTCCGATGCAGATGCGTTGATGGCTTTCATTTGGTGAGTTTAATCTCTTACATCGAGTTCGGTGGGCCCAAAAGAAAAGAATATCAAGATGTACATACCTCTTCTCACGGTATCTTGAATCAATTGGTGACCACTGTTGCCAGGAAAAGCCAATAAAACTCTTTGAAGTGCGACATTGAGCTGTTTACCGTGAATGTTAGAAGCAGCACGGCAAGAAAAATCCAAATAGAAGAAAAGCACATACATCTCTAATACTTTCATCTTGTTGGTAATTCATCATGATTATTGAAAATTTCAAGTCAACAACTTCATTCACGGATTAAAACACTTCAAAATTGACATTTACCTCTTTCACCAAGTGAAAAAGAAAAGTCATTGATTTTTGGGGGGGAGGATTGGATTTTGAGTTGCGGTTGCAGGTGATTTAAATCGTCAAGATTTCACATGATGAGGATGAGAAGAGAAGAGAAGAGGAGCTTTTTTCCATTCTTTAACTAGTAGCCAAAACTTAAAAGCCTGCAGGTGTCCGTCCAGCTTTGAAAGACTAATAAGACTGGGTGTGAGTGTGGGTGTGGCTTTGAACTTCCATTTATAAACATTGTGAGACATTTCAACCTGGAACCTTACGAGATTGATTACCTAATAACCTTGCAAGGGGCCGGCCTTCAAAACATTCAAACGCCACATGTGGCGCAACATTACCACCTCCAGCTACCTAGCCTTCCAAGGTTTACGGCAGTATCCTCTTAGAGATAATCCGGTTTCCCCCACAACCATTTATCTTCTTATTTTCAAACTTTCTTCCTTATCGACTTTTCCATCAAAGCTTTTGCAAACTCAAGAACCACAGGGAAGCCCACACTACCTTACAGACCATCATCCAGCTACTCTCACTCATCCATCCCCCTCATCAACTTCATCTTTGACCTGGTCTCGTTCGTAAGCTTGCGCCAAATCGGAAGACGTTTCTGGATACCTATCATTACTAGGTGGATGGATACATAGAATTGGCTACACGATTTTACGTCATTATCATCGCATACTACATGCCAAGCACATCAACATACTAAGTCAACTTATCTCAAAGTATCTTCTTTAGCCCCATTTTAAGAGGTGTTTGAGATTTCGCGACCCTTTGTTAATTCTTATTTCTTCCCTAACATCCAGTTTTGTTCACCCCCTCGCTGGATTGTTACTTCGCATTCTCATAACTTGTCAGCACACACAACAGAAAATAAGCAAACATCATGTCAGATGAACTCGAATACCTGCAGGACGGCTTTGAGCCAGCTACCCTTACAGTGGCTCGAATCCGCTCTATTCTAGTCACACATGATATCGATTATCCATCCAGTGCGAAGAAAGCGCAACTCGTCGAAATCTTCAACGAGAAATTAAGACCACAGGCGCGAAAGATATTGAACGAAAGAGCGCGTGCGAAGAGAACGAGTCGAGGAATCGTCGATGCGGATTCGTCACAAGAGAGCAGTACTCAGGAAAGTACAATAGAAAGCCCACGGGAAAGTGATGTTATCCTGCCACCACCGCGGACACGAGTTGTGAGACAATCTCCTGCGAAAGTTAGAGCATCAGTGGATATTAGCGATGATGAGCGAGCGTACAGGAATACCAGGAGATCAACTAGGTCTATCAGCCCAGTAAAGAGGATGCCTAGAGCTAGTAGTCCTGTAAAAAGGACACCAAACCCAAGCGTCAAACATCCCAGGCAGGAGGAGGAGAGTCTTTCAGACAATGACGATGTCCCGCAGACTGTGAGAAAATCAAGAAAAAGCACAACAGTTCAAACGCCGATGGTCGGGGCAAGGGACAATTTGGATGGGGTGGTACAAAAGAAAGACTCGCGGAGAGAAAGCAATTTCACCCACGACAATCCATTTCAAAAGGGCTCGCCACCTAGAATACCCATATCAAGTCATGACAGTAAGAGAAAGAGCATGGGTGGGAGTGCTATGAAGGAAATGGAAAAACGAAGGAATTCGATTTCGAGAAGACGCACGGTGACTCCACAAGCTAATGTTGGGATACGCCCACCGACTTCTTCCACTTTCGAAATTCCTGTTAGTAGCCTCGATGGGCTGAAGGATTATGATGAGAATGGAGTTGAGATTAGTGAGGATTTTACTCCCGAGGCACAATTCGAACTCGAGCGTGAGCAACAGAGAGGGCGCACTACAATTCAACCCCGACGAAAAGCTTCAAATGGCGTCAGCATGAGTGGTCCTATTTGGATGATTCTTCTTACATTGCTTGGTGGCTATGCTACTTGGTACAGACAAGAGAAAATTGCCGTAGGCTTCTGTGGAGTAGGTAGAGAAGCGCATTCGATAATACCCGTCAGACCAGACCTTCCGGATTGGGTACAAGTACTCGCCGAACCGCAGTGCGATTGGTGCCCACAGCATGCTTATTGTAATGCCAACTATGAAGTTCAATGTGACCAAGATTTTATCCTCAAGCATCATCCTCTCTCGTTGGGTGGATTCTTACCCCTTCCACCAACTTGTGAACCTGATGGAGAAAAGCAAAGGCGTGTCAAGGCTGTCGCGGACCGAGCTGTTGAGGAACTGAGAGAGAGAAGAGCAAAATGGGAATGCGGTGATTTGACAGATGAATCTGGTGCACCCGAACCGACTGTTGAGATAGATGCCGAACATTTAAAGAAAGACGTTAGTCAAAAGAGAAGAAAGGGCATGGGAGAAGCTGAGTTCGAGGAATTATGGCTTGGTGCCATCGGAGAGATCAAGGGGAGAGATGAAGTAGTCGTTGGTGCTGAAGGGTAAGCTCTGAATTCTTTTCCTTTTTGATCCTTGTCACTGTTTGTGCATGTATTCTTCCTTTTACTACAATATCTTCTGACAACTCGGTTCACTAATCAGGTTAAACATCCCCGTTGTAGATCAAACACCCTCGCAAGTACCTCACTCGCCCGTGTCCCCCTCGTCTGCGCCGTCAAGCGATCCTTCAGACTCACATTGGCAAGATATTATCTCGAAATTGGATCTCTAGTTTCAGCCTTTATCCTCTTCCTCTACGCGCGTTCATCGATTCGCAGTCACACAGCTACGAAAGCCGCAATTCCTGCTTTGGTTTCACATACTCTTCAACGTCTCGCTACTCAAGCATCCCTTCACGCATCCGATCCAGATGGATTCAAGGACGGTTGGATCAGTATAGGCCAATTAAGAGATGATGTCCTCCGCGATGAACATAGTTTGAAGAAGCGAGAACAAATCTGGACAAAAGTCAAGAAAGTAGTGGAAATGAATTCGAATATTAGATCTATGCAAAGAGAGAGTCAAAATGGCGAGATCTCAAGGGTCTGGGAGTGGATTGGCGCGTTGGAGGATGTGGATGGTAGTGTTAGGAGGAGGAAAAGTGGGAGAGGGGGTTGGAGTACGCCGGGGAGGGAGAGAGATGATAGAGAGGAATTGGAAAATACAATTACACCGAGGTGGGACGAACCAGGTTCGAAGGGTGTTTATGCTTGAGGTGGGAGAGTATTTATTAGGAGACTTGCTTTTCATTCAGTTCAGAAAACGAACAAACTTGTTTAAATTTCATTCTTGAATATTGATATCCAGATGTTCTTTTTGTTTTGGGTTTTTGGGATTGCAAGGAATTGTGAGCGTAATAAGGCGATGGGATTAACGGGCGGGTATCTGTGCCTAGAATCTTGAGGTTGAGATTGGGAATGTTACTCATATCTACCTTTGAAACGAGATGTAGATCTTTTCCTTTGTACACTATTGTTTGCTGGTTGGTTGGTTGATGATTATTTACTAGTAAGATTGATTGCTCTGAGCAAGCATATGTATGGGTGAGGGCGAGAAAATAGGATTTAAGTGTGTATGTATGAATGGGTGTGTGTGTATTTGTTGATTTATGTAGTTACCTATGTATGTATGCATGGATGATGGATGGTATGGATATTTGAATGTATATACCTAGAGATTGATTTATAGATGTATAGATGTATAGATCACTCGACAGCTACTAGGTAGGTCTGTAGGTAGGTAGTTTTATACAGTGAGATGGTAATTTAACATGACATGATATGATGTGATGTGATATGATGTATCTATTTAACTAAAACAGACATTCCTCTCAATCCACTTTCTAGAGCGTAGGAATCGTTTGTTTTTGATGTGCTAGCTACTAGGTAGGTAGGTAGCTGTCTTATTCGGATTTCTTGATTTCTTGATTTCTTGATTTCTTATTTTTATTCTGCTTTGCGGGTGTGAGGAGGAGGAGAGGGGAGGAGGAGAGAGAGGGACGAATACTAGGTATAGGTAGGTAGTTAAGAGAGGATTTCGTGCGCAATTGTGTGTGTAATTTTTTTGTAACTTTGGGTTTATTTTATACCTATCTACCTACCTACCTACCTACCTAGGTAGTACTTTCTTGAAATTGAAATCGAAATCGAAGATGAAGTCATTTATAATATGGTTTATGATATGACGAGATGCGATGCGATGCGGTGCGATAAAACGAAGATTCTCCGCATAAGAAAGCAGCAATAGATATATAGATATATATATACACTATACAAACTAATGAGAGAAAGGAAGGAATACTTACAATACAAAAATTTACTTGAGAATATCTAGGTAGGTATATCTGGAAACTTTGATTCAGATGGATGGATGAATGGATGGCTTGAAATTTTGAGATGATTCAAGAGGGCTTTAAAGATTGAATGAATATTAGGTGAGAGAAGGGTGGAATGGGTTCTGATATGTTGGAGGAGTGGAGGAGTGGAGGATTGAAGAATGAATCGGTGGGAGAATTTGAATGTTGATGGGTGGCTCGGTGGTTTGGGTGTCTATTTGCTGGTGGAGGTAGGAGGTATCGAGATTGATGGTTTGGTTTGTTGCAAGGGTGAGGTTTCTGGGGGGTGAAAGATGAATGGATGGGATGGTTGGTTGGAGTATGTTCATTTTAGTTGGTGGGAACTTTGAAGGGATGTGATGTTGATTTCGCATATACTCACTCGCTCACTCACCCTCCATTTTCCAACTTTGTGTAGAGAAGTTGTGATATCTGAGCTGCAAATAATAATGGAAAATCTGACAAAATATATCTATCATGTTTGTTGTTGTTGGAAATGTAGAATGAGATACTTACCTAGATGCTACCTACCTACTTACATAGTTTATAATGCGACGATCCAGGATTCAATATCATATTCCCCCCCTCAAAAACAAGAAACCTCTCCTCACTCACTCGCTTCCCCATCCCCATCCCCATCCATCCCCATCTTTTCTCTACCGTACAACGCCTGCTCGCCCCACTTATCCACCACCTCCTCCTCCTCGACCTCCAAAAATGCAAAACCTACTGAGCGCGACTTCTCGCGCTATAGGGGAAAACAGGCACCACCGGTTTTTTGTATCAGTACCAACATCCCACACACGCCCACATCCGAGATCGATGCGGGATCGGATGGTATATTCTTGCTTCACTGGGCGAACTGACTTGAGCGAGTGGGGCTGACCACTCTGCCAGTTGGTGGGATGTTGTGATGGGTGGACTGTTGTTTGAGTATATATATGTGTGTTTAGCGAGTGTGGGAGGTGGTGAATAGATGATATGGGTAGGTGAGTGGATGGGGCGAATGAGTGAATGTGGTGGGTAGGATGTGGCCGTATTGTGATTGTGTGAAGTTGGGTGTTTGGAAGACTAGTAGATAATGAAAACCGGGAATATTAGTATTGCAGATGATCATTGACTAGCTGGGTATATCAATTACCATTGCTGCGGTTAAGATTGTCGAGCCGCAAATCTTATAACTCTCAGCTTGGTTGTTGACTTTATCATCATCTCCTTTGACTTCTTTGTACTTCGATTACACTTGTAATGCCACCAGCATCAACATCGTCAACATTATGAACATTATGAATAATTTTTCTGTACTATCTTGGTTGTCAGTTCCAAAAGAAGCAAATTGATAGCGCGGCATGAAACGATGACGACCGTCGTGGTCGAGGCCGCAAGCACTGATAAACGGAAGGACCATTTCTTTCCTGCCCCAGTCACTCAAGAAGAACGCATGAAAGACTAGCACGAATCCCCAATAATTCGGTAGCTTCCATGTACTACTTATCTTTGACGCGGTTAAAGCTATGACATACAAGACGATAGGTACCTTGGAGATTCATGCCGCAATCTGGGGAAGATTTTGGTCCAGTTTCGAATTGATTGATTCAATGTCTCCATCGGTATCTTCAAATGACAAACATCAAGCTTTCTTTCTGGCCCTCTGGAGACGCCAAAACCTTCAATGAGCACGGAACAAGTGTTTAACGTGTGCTCGGGCGTCGTTTGTGATATACCGTTGAGCCGAGGCAACATCTGCCGGAGCATTCCAACAACATGTGTTGTGATGTCAACATGGGTGCTTTGATAGTTTTGCATGCCTTGACCACCTTTGTAGACCAGATACTCAAGTTGCAGGGCAGAGTGAAATACTTTAACATGTGTGTTGTTAGAGTAGATCGACTTTTTTCTGGGGCCTGGTTTGGTCCGAGGGTTTTGAGAAGAAACCACAAGCAAACAGTGGCGGTTTTCTTTGGCAACTGTTCTATATATGCATGTGGACATTGAAGCACTGACTCGATATCTATCGGCTCACTTGATGTCTGGCAGATAGTCATCATGTGTTCAAATTGTAATGACGCTTTCATCCCTCGATACCTTTATTCAGACATGATGATCACATCGCGGGGCTATGAGAGTTGACCAGTCTCAATATTCATTTAGAAAATATGGAATATCATTGAAGATCGGACTTATGCTGGAGTCAATGAAATGAGAAGTAGATTTGCTCAAGCGGATCAGATATTCGGAAGCATCCGAGATCAATATGTTGTAATTGTGGGAGTTGAGAACGTGCGTCTAATTATCTGACCTTCATGAGAATATGCGGGGTCGAAATATTGCTTTTGTCAACTTTACGTGCGGTGTGAGGCACGTGGGATGATGGTATATCTGCCGGCAGTGTAACGAAGATCAATGGCGATCCAACAGGGGAGAGTGATGATCTTTAAGATATCACCGAAATCCTTTTTGATAAATCTGGGAATAGTGTCAATTGCCCGATGCCATTATTGACATTCGAGTAAGGTAAGACATGTATGTGAACGAGCGAGTGAGCTAGAGAACCGTGGCATTTTACACGTGAGTAGCGGCACATGTCAATTGTCAGTGAACAATGTGGCAGAAACTTATGGTACACATCTTCCGGAGTTTCCGGGTCTTCATCCATATTCAATTCAGTTCAATTCAGTTCAATTTAATTCCATTGTTGGTTCAGTTGGTTGTGGAAATTTGTAGCGAGCGGTTTGCTGTCAAACGGGAAATTGGAAATTAGAAGAAATCTGGCTCTGCAAGGAACGGAAAGGGACAGTAATTCTTGACGAGTAGAAAGCTTTAGATGATTATTCTGTAATTTGTTAGATACATTCTGCTTACTATTCTTGACTATGTTGACCAGGACTCCCCAGATGTTCGAAGTTCGGAAACACTCAAAAACCTCCTGATTGCGGATACTTTCATACGGATGCATGATCCACTTAGTATTGTTAGGCTGTGAGGGTGTGAGGGTGTGAGGGTGTGAGCATCCCCCTCTCCCTTCCCCCCACTCCCCTGATTTCCCTCATAGAATCTCCCCGTCCCGCGTTTCTCGTTCCTGTCCCTTGTTCCTGAAAATTAACGATAGTCATTTTTATATCGACATCCAATAGTCCTAGACGGACTCGAGGCGGAGTAGAATTCGTGTCTCATTCCGACTTCGCACGACGATATGCATCAACTTGTCCTATCATCACTGTACGATTCAGGGCGACAGACAACTTCTCGTCTAACTAATAGTGGTAACTTTTCGGAAGTTAATTTTGTGTTTTCGTGATCGACGGCGTTTTCGATCTCTACAACGTTATCGACGTTTAAACTTCACAACACCACCACGCAAAAAGAAAAACTGATGTCGGTAGGTACTAGGTAGACTGTTGGATAAAGTCAAAATTGATGTAACGGAAAGTTACACAATTTATTATTATTATGTGGCTTCCATACTGCATGCAGCCACGCAGTCACACCCTTTTCTGTCTAAAACTCCTAGCAAGTTACTTTATCTCATATATTACTTAGCACGGATTACAGCTGACTCGAAACAAATAGAGCACCGGAAGAAGTTTGCGGTACAAGTATCTGCGTATCGGGATCGGCTATATGGACCGATTAGACACTAAGGCCAGCCATCATCATCATTGTTATTTTCAAGCTTCATCCTCATATATTGCAGCTCTTAGCTCTATATTGACTCCCGGAGACATCATTCATTGATTCGTTTTCTACGCTAGCATGATTTTCCGACATAACTCCACGAGTGATGATGATATACAACCCTTCGGTATCTACTTGGTAGAATCGACGCCACTCATTCCCCATACTTGATTGGTATTAGTCTCGTACGCGAGCTCGCTATGGATACAAGCTAGACTACTCGAGTATAGCAAGCTCATGCCTTATGCGGCATCCTTCCGGAAGAATGGCATATTGTTCGCCCGTCAACCCGTCTTGCGGGAGATAAGGTTTTCTATTGGTTTTCGAAAGGTCCCGAGCGGAAGGAAATCTGCTCGAGCACGCCAGCATGTCCCCACTTGCTGAATTTTCTCAGTGGACCATAACTACCCAGTAGGTCAACATTCCGTCAGGATCAGAACTACACTGCATTGAGCACTGCAGTACATGCCACAATCTGCCGAAATGTTCCAACATTGTGAAGTCCCTTCAGAGCTGTTGAGGTTCATCGTAATATGTTTCGTGTCAGAGACTAAGATAATCGCCCCCTGTGGTTCATTGGTACCATATCAAGCTAGTGAAACCATGCCTTGCGACAAGATGCACCCCAAATTTTAAGTTTAGCGGGATGAACTGCAAGCACAGTCTTCTCATATCGAGGGACTTTCCCACTATCCAGTGCTAGTGTCTTGTATAGTGGTTCGGCATCAGCAAAATGTAC